ACCCCCAGTGTCCATAAATTCCTTTCTCTCTAAACACACACTCTCAGGCCGACAGCTAAGCCAAACTAAAACACACCTTATTCCTCTGATCTAAACAAATTTAACACATCATATTATAACAATGATTTTCTTGTACTCACAGCAGCTTTCACTTGTTGAGTTGACTATGAACTCTATATACCAGTATTCTAGTGCCAAATGGAGGTCATCTGCCTGACAGCTAAAGCTTGTTATACAACAGAACAGCTGAAAACGAAAAGAATTGTAATGGTACAGTTAACGACCGGGCTTCCACACAGTAAATGCTGTGGCAGGACCTTAAGAGAGCTGTACATAAACAAAAGATTGCAAACCTTAATGAACTGACACCACGTTATAAAGACGAGTGGATCAACATTCCTCCACATCAAAGTGAGAGACTGATAAAGTCATATAGAAAATATTACTCCAAGTTGTCGCAGCTAAAGGTGGTTCCACAAGCTACTAAATCATGGGGTGCGCATAATGTTTTCAGAGGACTGTACAGAGTTCTGTGAAGATTGTTTCTTTGTACATGACTGTGAGAAAAATCCCAACTTTGCTCTGACTTCATGTTGTTCTCATAGATTTCTGGCATTCCACAAATACACTTAGTTATGGAGCGGTTTCCTTAAATTAGCTGGGAACATGTTCCCACTCTTAAACCAATGCTGAGTCACACCAAATTCACTTCCTAATTAGCAAGTGGAATTCTGTGGATAATTTTTCCAATGATAGGTAAAAATATATATATTTTAGAAGTTATTCTAAAATATATATATCTATCCGCCTAGGTCTTAAAAAAGATTTTAGAATGACCAGAATTCCTAGTTTAGAAACATTTTAGGACAATTATCAAATTACAGAAATTATAGTAACTTTGAAAACTGAAATGTGTTCCTTTTGTGTCTTAATAGGCTTATTTTGCCTTATTTTTTGTTAGCTACTCCACCACATGCTTTCAGTGGGTTTTGCTGCTTTTTTTTTTATTACCAAGCAATGTTGCCAAACTGTTATAAGATAGATGAACGAAGTTCAGGGTTGTCTTGCTGTGATATAAAATGTCTGCCATGAAAATGTCTCAGCGATGGTATAGTATCTCTCTCCAAAACCTGTATATCATTCAGTGGGGGGCCATCTGCCGCAACTGGTTGGGGAGAGAGAAACGAATGAATTAATGGGGCCATTAACCATACACTAATACACAAATGCACTCCCCATACAGATAATGGCTCTGAACTGTGCTGACAAGTTTACTGATCCTTCTCTTTTCTAGGTCAGAACATGACGTTTTTTAGAAGTGTTCCTGCACCCATGTGTTACAGAATGACCTTGTTTTTAATGCAGTTCTCCCCGAAGGCCTAAACATATTGTCCATTTGAAACACATTTCCTGTTCCTAGGTGTCTTTGTACTATTTTGAATTGGGGTTGAGTTATTTGCAAATCCCTGCATTCTGTATCCCAACTTTTTTGTAGGGAAGCATGGCAATGCAACTGGGACCTTCAAATATTCCCAGTTACAACAGTATCTACCTTCTATTGGCTCAATTAACAACTTGTGTTTTCCCTCGTGCAGTTCCCATTGGAGACAAAACACACAAACCGAAACTTTTAAAACCTCAACCAAGAAAAGTAGTGTTGGTGAGTACCATTCATGCCTGATTATCAGTTAGCAATGTCCTTTTTTGCATGTTTAAGGTAAGGTACAAGGACTGAACTGAAAAAAGAGTGAAAAACCAGACAATGCAGACAAAATCTTTTAAATATAACTTTGAAATTAAATGAACATTTAAGCAGAATGTCTAAGGGCAAAGGTGCCAGAAAAACTGTGCCACATAACCAATCTTTTATTGCTGTTGGCATGAAGTGGCTCTGTGGCAGCTTGGTATGGTAATGTCATAAAATACTTGAAGAGGTAATTAAATTTTAGGTTACCTCAACCCAGAACTGCAGCAGGGTGGTGTTTACACACAGCGTGCTCCAAGTTACCAAAACCAGTGATTTACCAAAACCTACAGCATCTTTAGCAATGTAATGTATTCATGCAGTTCTATAATTTTTTTCTAGCCTTCCTTTTCTAACCGCTAACTAGCTCTCTCCTCTCCTCCATCATTATTTTTCTCTGTCCTCTTTGATCTCTAGCCGAGGATAGTGGAGGAGAACCTGACCTACGCAGAGCTGGATCTGGTGAAGCCAATTCCAGAGACCAAGGCATCACGTAGTGGCACAGTGTACGCCCAGATACTGTTCGAAGAACAGCAGCTATGAGAGAGACACATACACCACTAGTACCTGTGCCTTGTGTAAAAACAAAAAAAAGTACTTTCTATTTATAGTCTGTATTGTTTTTTATATTTAAATGATTTGTGAAGGAAAAAATGTCTCAAAATTATGGCAAAATATGATTTTATATGAACTTTTGTATAACTTCTTTTTGTGAGACCACGGTGCAAACTGATTATTTTTTATTACTGGACTTCTCATTTCTTGTTTTCTTTTGTACCCACAATTGAAACCTGTGTAGCCGAGCCCAGGAACGCGATCGAAGACTTCTGTGCTGATTTAGACCTGATTCGTCTGTCATGACAATCGGAAGGGAAAATGGAGGTTTGGATATGTGAGACCAAACTTTACATGTTAGTGAGTGAATAAGGTGCTGTGAAGCTGACATGACGAGTGGCAGTCAGGTTTGCTCTGCTGCTGTTGGTGACTTTAAAAAGATAACTTTTGAAGTGTCGTTTCAAGCCAAACAAGGTTGATACGCTCACGTCAAGCAAACGTTGCGTCTCAACTGCAGAATTCATTGGAAACAAATAGTTAAACAAAACACTTTAAGCTTTTGTGATTCATGTATTTCATACCCAGTATTTAATAACTGGTTTTGGTCTTCTCCTTTGGCAGAGTAATGAGCACAGGAGCACTTCCTGTTCCTCCCGTGTTGTTGTATTTCAGGCTGGTCCTGTTAGCTCTCTGCTCTCAGTGTGACTTAACTCCTGAGCTGCAAAGACAAACTTTCAAAAATACATTTTCTGAAATATGAGACCCAAACCAGGTTTCAAATTCAAATGCAGTCCAAAGAAATCTGAAACCTCTGGTGCGTACACAATGGCAACGTTTTTCATGATTTTCCAGAGAAAGTCATCTTCTCCGTAGCCCGTCTATCCAGTCAGCACACTAACAATAATTACATCACTTTTGGCTTGCGTTGCCATGTGCTAGGGCTACATTTACCATCCCAAGATTCTGGCTTGGTTTCTCCATTGTTTCCTCTTGAGTCAGATTTATAGTTTTGCATTTGTAGAAGGACAGTGGACAAAGGCGCAAAAGCAGTAGTCAGCAAGGTGGGGTGCAAATCCAGAATTTCTCTGCTTGGAGTCAAGCTGAGCTCATTTCATACTGAATGTAACAACATGAGCAAAGCATCAGTCTTTTTCACCCAGGCCTTTCCCCAAGTGTTCCTTTGAAATCATTAATGCACTTTATTAAAATGGCGTCATTTAGAATAAACTGAAATACACGAAGGCTTGATCTAAATAAGAAATCCTGTTTTATATGCTTTGCTTCATACAATAAAATGACTCCAGTGATAGCCTTTGATATTTCTTAGGCCAGCTACGCTCCCTTCCACAATGAATAGCTGGAAATCCCATTCTGAAGTGAGTGGATTTATAAAGGAGAGAAAAAGTTAATTAAAGACATCCGTTGTTATGAATGTGAACAGAAAGCCCACCATTATCAAATGTGATTTACTTTCTAGTGAGTTCCCAGCTTTATCTGCTTCCCAGCATCTGTCTTCAGTCTGTTTTTGTGTATCAAGCTGCAGTTTATATCGACCACAGCCCCAAAGAGTTGACACAAAACTGGTAATCAGCCCTCGGACCTCCCCCCACAGGCAAACACTTAAGATCACACAATTCTTTTCATCTGGTGCCAACATCGGCTTAGCAGGCTGTTAGCAACTCATGAACTCATTTATATATACATGCAAGGGTGGAGTTACATGAAGGCTAAACACCCTCATCACTGACTTACACAGGCACATAGTGTAAATTCACAAGGCTGCCAGCAGTTGTGACACCTGATCTGTGGTCAGGGTCAGACTAAGAGTTGTGTTTGGGCTGTTTCACATTAACGCCAGTCACGGATTTTAAATCTTGAGGTGATTCGCTGTTTCAGATAAGAACCAAAAGCCACTTTGGCCACGATCCCACATACCTACACTAAGGTTTCCTTGCTTTCTCGTTTTCCATGAATCTGAGTGTGAAAGTCCTTTTTTTTTTCCAATTTAATGATCCTTTGGACTCAGGCATGGAAAAGCGAAGGAAAGCTTTTTTAAACAGTGAACTTGAAACCCAGACACAAAGGCACCTGATCCCTCCCTTCCCCCCAAGACGTCCGCTATCAGAGTTCTCTGCATTCAGACTGCTAGTCTCACTTTTTAAGCTTCTCTGAAGTTCATCTCAAAGTGGCGTTTTGCTCCATTTCCAGCCATCTACGGTTGGCTGTACCAGCTTTTAACCAGTAGTTTGAGATAGCACGGTGAATGGACTCACTTCAAAAACAACGCTGAACATGTATTTGGTATTAGCATTAGAAATACATATCAGCCAACCCTAGGGCTGACTTACCAGAGCTGCTGTGCCAATTCAAAACAAATCTAAAGAGCTCACCTACCACTGCAGACCTACTACACATTCCTAAGGCAAGCTGGTGCTTATAGACTCGGACATGTTTTCTTCCCTTGGCTATATATTACTTTACTATGTAAACCACTGCTGACCTCTACTTTTGTTAGCGCTCCAACTTTCCCGACGTTGCCCTCTAATGTTCGCTTCAATCGCACAGCAAGCATTACCCCTGCATAAATGAAATGACTGAAAGTGACCTTTCAGCGGTGAGTAGAAGTGTCTTAAAAATGCCCTTCGACTGTGAAATGTAAAGTTTCTTCCAGACCACACTGTCCTTAATAGGAGTCTGCTAACTAGAACCATGTGTGTGAATTGTGCCTCTGTGCTCTCCCCCTTTTCCCTCCGTCTCTCTGCTCACCACTGATCTCTGCATTTACCAAGATTCAAGCATTTCTACTCATGTTCATTTTGTACATTTCAGCTGTATATTGAATAAAAATAAGTGAAATAAAAATGAAATCTAATATAAACTGGGTGTTAACTGCTTTGGTGTGAGTGACAGCTATTTGTTATCACGACACAACAATTAACCAAATGCACATGCATCCTGCAGGTGAACCTGAACTGCTAATTCTTGGAGGTGAGCATAACCTTAGCATGAGAGGTCACTGCCACAATGCCTGTTTTAGTACCCGCGAAGGTACTGAAGTGATTTCAGTGACGACATTAGGACAAAATTTGTATTTATTCAATGGTAGACAAATTCATAGTGCAGCAAGGCATCTTGTTATGATTAAAGCTCACACGTTTGCCTCCATGCAAGCATTAAAAGTAGACGTGAAAGGGGCACAGCCGTTAGGGATTGGGTGTCAGCTACTCTTGTGGTGGTGAAAAAGTTGTGATGAGAGAGGGGGAGGTTTAAATGTTAGCTTTAGTTTACTTGCAGCCTCCAAATTATTTTAGAAAAAGAAGCTGCGTGAGAGAGACAAGCGGAACCCCAGAGGTCGTATAAAAATATCTCACCCACAGAGCAAACACAAGGCGTTGACAAAAAGACAGGTCAGTGCATGGCTCGTAGGAAACCGATCCAATGGCAATAAAATATAATAAGTAAGGAAAATAAATTTTAAATTGTTTAAGTAAAGAGATGGAGGTGTAGAGTGGCAAGGAGGAATTTCAATGAAGACACAAGAGAAAATGTATATTTATGGGGCATGAAGATATATAGGATATATGAGCTGTGGGACAACTCGATGTTTGTAACATGTCTGGGGACGGGCCAGCAGCGTTTGCAAACAACTCCTAAAACAGAAACAACTGATGTCACCAGTCAAGCAGCCAAACAAAACCTATTGTTAAAGCAGAAACCCTTGCGTGTGTCTGTGCTCGTTCTATCCCAAGCATGCCATCATGTCTGTCTATAGAAGTACAATACATAGTAAACATAGTCTACAACCAACATATCCTGTGTGGTAAGGGTAATGCATAGCTACACTAGCCTTAAGGCAAGGGAAAAAAGGGAGTAATGAAAGACTTCTGCAAGTGGAAATCACAGGAAGGACGATTTAAGATTCAGCTTCTGAACTGTAAGCAACATCCAGTGTCCAGTACAGTCAGTTCATGTTGGAAGGGTGACCTCGTCCTCTTTAATCCCCTCTGTAAGTACAACAAATAAGGGCAGTATCCACAGGGCTTCAAAGCTTTCACTAAAGCACAGTACACTGGCACAGTGTGGAGGTCCTGCTGAGAGCTGGCTCAGAAGAAGCAGTGGGTTAGCCTGAGGGTGAACACATTACCCCAGATTTGCCATTGTGAACGCTTGATGTAGTTGTTGACTTTAAAAAACAAAACAAAAAAACAGAATGAAAGAACTATGATGGCTCAAGCTGTTAGCACATCACAAGTCTTTTGCCTCTGCAGCAGTTAAAATGTTAATTGCTGTTAGTCTGGAAGGCTTCTTGTATTTAAAATAGTAGCTGATGATGTCATGTGCTCTTGTTTTGTAACCATTATTTTTATCTTCATCTTGCACTTGGATGCGTTTGACAGACATGCAGTTACTGGTGAGACATTTCACCATGGGATTTATTAGTCTGCATGGCGACTTTCAATTCCCAGCGCTGTGATTCACTCTGCTGTTGTGTGGAAGTGAAGGCCAAGCAGGACTAATGTGAAACAGCTTTTTGGGCCCAAGCTCACCAGCCAGCTGCCTGTCACCCCTCTGAGCTCTTGACAATAATGACATCATACTACAATGACTTCCAAGACTAGCAGCAAGAAGCCAGTAGGGGTGCAAAGTTGTAAATGATGACATCAGAATGAGGATTCCCCAACAACGAGGTTAGAAAGCTTTTCTGGACTTCTGCTTCCATCCAGGTTTTAGATCCATTTTCATTATACAACGCTTAAAGCTGGTCAAATTAATGTTCTGTATCAAAGGAACAAATGAGAAAATTTCATTTGTGGCAATTATGGTTCATAGATGTGAAAACGGCATTAGTCAAAGAATTTCAAAGAGGCAATACACTAAAAGAAACAGCACTCACAGCTACGCCAAGCATCTGTTTTTCAGCAAATAAATGTTCTAAACAACAACTGGCAAGCAACCATTAAAAAAGGGGGAGAGAAAAGAGAGAGAAAAGTATTAGCAACTCCCTGCTAAAGACAGTAGCAAATATTCATCAACTTTGTAGTTACACCTTGCTAGTATTGGGTTGGGACTTAATTCGTTGTGCTGCAGATTCAAGGTGAACCTTGAATGTTTGAAACATTCCTCAGAGATTTCTGTCCATGTCGACATGATAGCATCACTACTGCTAATTTATTGGCTGCTGCAAATCTTCCATTGTCATGTTCAAGAAAGCAGTTTGAGATGATTTGAGCTTTTTGATATGATGCATTATCCTGCTGGAGGTAGCCATGAGAAGATGAGCTGACTGGCATGGACATGATCAGGAACAACCCTCAGGTAGAGACTGCGGTGTAAGCAGTGCTTAGTTAAGAGAATACCTCCCACACCATTAAACCACCAGCCTGAACCACTGATACAAGGCAAGATGCATGCTTTTATGTCAATTAGGTCCAATTCTGAAACTATTTAGACCATTTTCCAGTCTTTTCCATGTTTTATTGTGCAATTTTGTTGAGCCCATGAATTGTAGCCTGAGTTTTCTGTTCTTAGGTGACACCTGATGTGGTCTTCTGCTTCAAAGTTTGACATGCTGTGCATTCAGAGAGGCTTTTGAATTACTGATTTCTTTTCAGCTCAAAACAGTCTGGCCATTCTCCTGTTTTCTCTTTCCTGGACCATTTCACATAAACCCTAGAGATGGCTGAGTGGGAAAATCCCAGTATCAGAAATTCTGAAATACTCAGACCAGCCTACAACCATGTCATGTTCAGACTCACTTAAATCACCTTTTTCTCCCATTCTGATGTCCAGTTTAAAATCCAGCAGGTTGTTTTGATCATGTCTATATGCTTGAACGCACCAATTAATGACCAGTTGAACAGGTGTACTTAACAAAGTGACCAGTGAGCTACAGGTGTAGATTTTTACTGCATGAACATGTAATGTAGCATTTAAAACACTGATACATCTTGGGTGCCAGTTTAGCTCAGTGGGTGAGTAGGTGACCATATACCAGCGGGCCCCAACCCCCAGACCCCGGACCGGTACCGGTCTGTGAGTTGTTTGGTACCGAGCCACAAGAGATGAGGCTCGGATGTGAAATTTATGGTTTTCAGGGTTTTTTATCGTTTTTTAGCATTATTTTTTATTGTTTTTATCGTTAACTCAGTTTCCCTGGGTCTTTTCCCGTGTGTTATGAATAAATCTTCTTTTTTTGGGTACTGGTACTGGTTTTATTTTGTTGTATTTATCTGTGACACCTTAAAGGCCAGTCTGTGAAAATATTATTGGACATAAACTGCTCCATGGTTGGGGACCGCTGCCATATACCACATGACCAAAGTAACACCGTGGATGGTTCCTTCGTTTATAATATTACTGTACGGCACGTCTCGCAAGGCATTATGGGATGTCAAGTCCACTATACATTTGAACAGCACTAAAGAATGGCAAAATCATGTTGCTTTATTAACAAAGGCAGATAGCTAGCATTCATATCCCCACAGTACCCTAATATGTTACTTTGGGTTTAAAAATAAATAAAAGAAATAAATATGTCATTAAATATAATTGTAATCCACAAACCAATCGGTGATGCCATCCATGTTACTTTGTCCATTTTTATTTACAGTCTATATAGTTACTTCTTGACACACACTTATCTGAAAAACGGTGCATTCAGAGACAGATTATGTCTGTCTCTGAATTATAAAATGAACCTGCCAGGTTATCATATTGTAGACACATAACTGTAGAAAACTACCTTTTTTTTCAAGGAAACAAGTCATTCTGCTATTTTGAATTAGAAATGATCATCTACTGTACACAAGCTGTAAAAATGTGTTTTCTATCGCGTCTTCATGGAGTTTAATAATGTGTTGGAAATGATTCAGAGGCCTTAAATGTAAGGGCTAATTACTTTCTGTCCTTTTTAAAATTTTGGACACATTCAAATACCAAACTAATCCAGATTCAGTCATTTTATCCATCATAACTAATTGATTTAACCACCAAAAGACACTGCCACAGTCCCAGTGAACATTTAACGAGAGCCCTGAGGAGGTTTTTCTTTTAATATGATGTAGGCAAACATTTACAAGTGGGTAAAGACTTTGAACTGGTAGCCCTGAAGCAAAGTACCCTACAGTCGCAAGGTTTGGAGGAAAGCAAAGCCACGTCCACTCAGGGCTTAGATAAACACTTGAACGCCTCTGCTTCTGCGGTGCCAGCTTTCTTAAACAGGCAGCACAAAAAAAGCTTTACTCTTGTTTTGTATCAGAAGGCCTAAGGGACAGTTTGTAAAGAATTATGCTGAGGCACGCAGGAAATAAAAAATCCTAAAAACAAATTCTGGAGCCTTCACCCAGCCCTGTGGCTCCTTCCACGCGTCTGATCCTAAGCGGGAAGACCGCATCCTTCAGGCATCATTTAGGCATTTTAAAACATTCTGCTGTCTACTAAAGCTCACTAAGCAGGAAATATAGGAGCTTTTTTGGCATTTATGTAAGTCATACATTTGCTCAGGGTCTTTCAAGAGAATTTTGTGAGGCTTCATGAAAGTGACTCTTCAGCCCTAGATTTATTTTCCTTTCCTTTGCAGTTCATGGAGTTATTTTCCTCCAATGGAAACTGTTCTACCTAAGCAGTTTTAAAGGGAAGTAAAATCATTACAACATGACGAAACTGCAACGTGTGACAGTTTACCAACATGTGTCGCATGTGATGCTTTGTTTTTGAGGTTTAGGTGGTAAAATCCTGTGTTAACTGCAAGTTGCGGAAGTTCTATTTACCAGATTCGCTGCGTCAAATGTCTTGCACACAGACATTTAAGAAGTAGATTTTTTACAAACCTTCATTCATCATTTGTACAAGTCAATAGCAGTAAGACACTTAGGCGATAATGGTATGTTTGAAAGCTTTGTGGTTCTCTACAGGATAGCAGCTAAAAATGCTGTCCAGCAGCTGTGAAAGAAGACAGGAAGGAAGGAAATGAGTGGATGAAAGACGGGAAATCCTCACTGTAAAATTAGCAAATGAAAGGGCAATGACTTTTATGACGTCAATGATAAATGCTGCTTTTGTTTAGATTTTGATGTGATTATGTGTTGTCACTCTATGTTTGATTTGCTGCCTTTAGCCTACCCTCATTAGGTTAATGACCCTATGCTAGGCTTAAACAGCCCATTCTTGACAATGTGGTAATGTGAATGGTATGTTTGTTCCTTAACCTCCTAGGAACTGGCGTCCACATATGTGGACATCACATTTTGGGTTATTTAGACCAAATTACTCAATTTTGCTCTACAAGGGATGATATCCGCATACGAAGACATTATACTGCTACTGTTCTATCGAAATTTTAAACAAATATCCTCATATGTGGCTCTCATTTTTCTTAGAAACAAAAATTAGGTAAAAAAAAAATAAAAATCTGGTAATTCTTTGTTTTTACAATCATCAGGTCCCAATCAGCCCAAATATCAAAGAGAAATGAAAAATGCATGCCGTGGAAGAGTTTGGGTCTTAGGAGGTTAAAGGCACCTATTTAGCATTTATAAGCAGGGCACAAACATTATTAACAATGTTTTGTTTTGATTTAATTTACAGCAAACTTCTTCTTGAAGAAAAAGTAATTTTTTGACTATTAGTTTAACTAGCTTCAAACATTGAACCTCTAGCTAACTTATAGCTAACTGTTTAGCTAACCGTTTAGCTAACTGTTTAGCTAACTGTTTAGCTAGTGCTAAATAAGATGTCCCAGTAAATATAAGTCGTAAACAGACTGTTACTTGGCATCAGCGCTGCTAATACTGCATAATTCAGGTTTTAGAGCAACATCTGCTTCCATTCTGACAACGTTTTCATGGAACTCTGATCTTTTTCAGTAAAACAATGTCAACCACACTAAGCTAAACTGGCCTGGCTACAGAACTTTGTTTTCCCTTTCTTTCTTTTTTTTTTAAAAAAATAATGAGATCATATTTTTTGCACAGTTTGAAATGAAATGATAAATATTAGAATGACATCATTTATTAAAGTTATTAATTTAAACTCTTCAATACTGCTATGCTACTGTCTGCAGGGTATAGCTGTAGCCATTTTCTTTCATGCTCACAAATGGACCCACAAACACAGCTCATATTTCTAATCACTGGACGTAATCTAAACTCGTACCTCACGCAATTAGGTCAGCACCATTTCCTCCAGTGTGAGCTTCACATTTCCTGACCCGTATTTCACACTCCACAGGGACATGACTCAGGCTCATTTACTAAATTTTCCTGCTCTTTCAGGAGAATAAAAGAACTGACCAAATGCAAAGCTAAGATTTGATCAAACATGGAGGAGGTAAACAGGTTTTCTGTGTTTATCTGTAGTTTAACATAACAAAGCAAGTGGCTTTTTGTGGCTATGCGTTTTCTAAAGTCTACAATATAATGGTCCTAATTCGTTTTAACAAGATTTTCTTCTGTATACTGGATCATTATATCCAAGAATGTCATTCAAGTGCATGTTTACGTACATATGCCAATGTGGCACAGTGTTGCTTTGACTCTATTTTAACTTCTCTTACACACTAGTCAGACAACAATATTAATACCTTAATAGACATAAAATTGCCTCTCATTTTCTTTCCTTTCATTGGCCGTTCCTGATATTTTGCAGGCACAACATATTATAAACTTACCTCTGAACACAGTGGTTTCCCACAAAGACTTTATATGAAATATTATACCTTTAAAAATATTACAGTAATGAGATTTAGTTCACTGGATGCACCTGTTCACTTCCTCAGTAAATCTAATCAGTCAATCCTATGGCAGCAACACAGGACATTTAAGCGTGTAGATGTGATCAACATAATCTGCTGAAGATTAAACAGAGCATCAGAATTGGAAAGAAAAGTGATTTAAATGAGTTTGACAATAACATGGGACTATTTCAGAAACTGCTGATACTGGGATTTTCCCACATAACCATCACTAGTTTACAGAGACTAGAAAAAGAGACAATATCCAGTGGCAGTTTTCTGTGTAAAATAAGAATGATTTGATTGCTTCAAGCTGATGGAAAGAAAACGTAGCTTGTTACAATCAATGCAAAAGAGCATCTCAAAATGCATAACACGTCAAGCTTTGTAGCAGATCGGCTACAGCTGCAGAAGACCACACCGGACGCCACTTCTGTCACCAAAGAAGAGGAAGATTCTGCAGGTTTATCAATATTAGATAACAGAAGATTGAAAAACTGTTATCTAATCTGATTAGTCTCAATTTTAGCTCTGATGTTAGATTGATGGGGTCAGAATTTGACATAAAAAACATGAAAGCATGGATCCATCCTGTCTTCTTGGCACATCTGATTATTGTTTAAATCTTACAGCCCTCCTATTGTTGCTGAACATGTCCAGTCCTTCATGACCACAGCTTAACCATCTTCTGATGGCTGCTTCCAGCAGGTCAAAATCAATATGGAACAATATGGGACAAATAATTAAGTCGACCCACTATTTTAAATGTAAAAGTAACAAATAATCTTGAACTTATATGTATGAAGACAGCCCCACCTGCTGGTAAGATTGTGTGGTATTCAAAAAGTACATCATCAGCAATGCATGATGCAGAGTAACTGCAATATGTGACACTTTAAACTCATTGTTGACAGAAGTCTCTGTGTTTGTGGGAAATAGATCAGTGTGTGGCTGCAGAACCACATCAAAGCTTGAGAAAGACTGGAAATGATTCGAGTCCGAGTTAAAGGTCAAAGGTCAAATTTTTATTCCACGTCACTAGTGCATGGAATCACATTTCTTGACTTGTGCACTGTTTATTTATCTTTTTCAACATCCATTTCATTGTTTTTCAGAGCAAAGTTTTGGACATTTTCTTTCCCATCATTAATGAAGTTTTTTTTAATCATGTAAACAATAAAAATAACAAAAAGATTGAGCACGAGACTGAGACACTTTTGAGGTCTGGTGGAGCAGTGGGAGGGAAAAAGATCTAGTTTTGGTGTATTTTCAGATATAAAGCAAGAATGGCCTCATTAGCTGCCAGCATTTGCTATGTAAGCAGTATGTGTATAGATGGTTCACTTAGGCTGTGGGACTCACATTCATGTATAAATGTATACATTCACTGTTATGTAGGCAGCAGTACTTGTTCTTCATTTCAAACAAAGTGGCAAATACAAAGTACTGGGCAGAGCTGCGTTTCAGTAAGATAAATAACAAGAATATGGACAAATCAGCTACAGGTGTTACAGGCCTTCCATGGGGTCTGTTTTTATACAGAAAAGTAGAGACAGGAGACATGAGTTGCGTTTGGTCTGCAGGCTCTTCCTCGTCTGAGGTACAGAAGCGTTGCAACGGCCTATTGCACTCACAACTACTTCCCGCTTGTGGCGTTGCCACGCAATTACGTCTTCATAACTTTGAAAAGTGCAATACCACCATGAAAAAATGCTTTTTACATTAATAAATGTTTTACAAAAAGTTTACTTTGACCATACACTTGTAGGTGTCACACAGGCATCAACAGCTCATTCTTATCAGTAATTTGGACTTGAAATCCTCCATAGCTTCATTTGAAAGAGGATAATCCCTGGAAACTGAAGCTGTTGTTTTTTAAAATGTTCTCACACAGATTTTTAAAAGAACAAACTGCCCTGCTGTGACTGGTGGCTGCTCATAGCTATAAAGCTATAGCTATAACCAAAGCTACCAGACCAAACAGCAGTTGCCTGGGAACAAATTACAACAAATGCCACATTGACCCAAGTGAGTGTGGCAACGTTCTTAGGCTGAGGAAAGAGAGCCAAGTATCTTCAGTTTTTCTCTTCCCTGCTGTTTTGAACTGGGGGTGAGGAGGCATTAATGCTTGTTCACAAGTTTAAACTCACTGCAAGTCTTATTCTGATTTCTGTTGTCATGTTAGCAGTGTTGTCATGGAACAAAGCAAATGATACTGTTACTCATATTTTATCTAACAGGAAAGGTAAAGCTTGACTTTGTCTACAGTTACCGCTGCCTGGGTAACGTGATCTCACAGACTGGCTCCACGGTCAACTCTGTCGTCACAGCGCATTAGTGGAAAAGGTTAACTACAGACTCCATCACTGTGTGTCCCGACAGCAGCATGGCCAAGGGAACGAAAGCCAAAAGAAAGACTAAAAGTAAGAAGATCACCTTGAAAATGGCCCAGAACTGCGTGGAGCTGACATTGGATGGTAAACGCCGACTGGATCTGAGTTTCAAGGGGATTACAGCTGTTCCAAAGTGCGTCCAGAAGCTCTTTCACATGGATGAAGTGGACCTGAGCAGAAATATGATCAGAAAAATTCCAGATTTTATTGCTCAGTTCATCAAAATGACTGTTTTGGATTTGCACAGCAATTATGTGAGTATGACAGATAATGCCTACTGTTTACAACGACTCTTTAAAAGTAGGTAAATAAATGGTAGCTACTGTATAGCAGCAATACTATGGGGCTGCTACACAGTTGTTGTGTCACACTATTTTAAATCATTTTAAATAATTACATATTCCAAATATTTTAAATTAAGCCCATTTTTTAAAAAATACGACCTCTAGATTAAAGTGCTAATCATCAAAAGCCAAACATTAAATAATCACAAACATACGGGGACACCTTAGAGATCCGCTAACTGTCACTAGCCTTTTGGCAGCTGTAGTTTGCCCATTTCAAAATTGTACCATGGTTCGTAATTATGTCCATGTTTAATGCACCAAAATCCCCATCTGTTAAAAAATGTGTTGTTGTTTCTAGCTGGAGGAGCTCCCCGTGGCTATCGGCTACCTGCAGAACCTTAAGGTTTTAAACCTGTGCAACAACCGTCTCACAAGCCTCCCAAGCGAGCTCGGCCTCCTGAATAAACTCCAAACACTGAACCTGGGTCTCAACCAGCTGGAAGCTCTTCCTGCCTCCATTGGTGCAATGGAGGAGCTCCGCCACATTGGCCTTTCTGATAACAGATTCACCCGCTTCCCCGGCTTCCTCTTGAAGCTGAAAAAACTGGAGAGTATCAAGATGGACAGGAATCCAATTATTGCTGAGAAGATATGCACCGAGAAACCAGTCAGTATTTCAGAGAGCTTTTACCTAGTCAAAGAAAGCTTCCTGTGCAAAGAGTGTCTGAAGAGGTGCCAAGCTGAGAGGAAGGAGCTGACGGAGGAATAAATACCATACTGTGTTCTTAACTCAAGAGTGCCTTTCACTTACAGAACTGCATGTTACTCTGATCTGTACTCTGCATTGTACATAGATTCAATTAATATCAGACAGTAACAGAAAACATTGCAATTTCCCTTGCAAGTGTATTTAAAGACATATTTTTACACACATTTTATACAATTACCATGCTTATAACTGCATGATAATTAGATACAAATAAAGTGTTTTGACAGTCTGTTGGGCCTGGAGGGCAGCAGAGAGCACCCTTATCTCTGAGTACCTGTCACTGACTTTAAACACTTATACAAGTAAGAAGTTGTGTGAAATAATATTTCATGTTATTAAACATACAAACGGTATCTTTTGCCTGTGATCATAATTCATCATCATCATCATATATGGAAATAATTAAGTTCCTGAAGTCTCTAAACAAGAAAAGAAAGACACAGATTCTGAGTTTGTCTCATTCAGAGAAGGCCTTCCTTTCTATGATGAACCATCACTTTAGTGCGATCTTTATTAGTTTCAGACCAAAATACATTTCAAAAGAAATTTTAGGGTGAAGAAAATACATTTACAACCTTACAGTAGAATGGATATCAAAGTAGCCTTTATTTAAATATATTTAGTGAAATAATAATAATAATAATAATAATAATAATAACAACAACATGTTTTATGTACAATGCAAAACACTGTTGAATTCAAACAAAACAGAGTCAAAGGTCTAGCAAGAATGAGGTTGTTTATACATTTGCTTACAGTATTTCACATTACACAATATCTCACTATAATGTAGCATTAACTTGACTTTGGAATTATCTGTCAGTGAAATATTAAACAAAATACAACAACTGTTTATGTACACTTGAGGTCTTTCATGTCTCTTTAACAAAAAACAAAACAAAATCCCTATTCAGAAATCTCTCTTCTATATGATGGTGTGTGTGTGGGTGTGTGTGTGTGTGTGTGCGTACACTTTAGTTTTTAACAATATATACTAGATAGTATTTAAAGGAACACACTCCACTTTTTTTGGGAATAGGCTCATTCTCCATCTCCCTCAGAGTTAACAATGCAGCGTCTTCTTTCTAAATCCGAAAGGTTAACAGGACTTTGGAGCGGGATCTTAAGGGATGGGGCGTGGCCAGGATTTTTGCTCAAGGCGCCATATCAGCAGGCCAAACAAATGCTTGCTGTGTGTGGACACACAGACACGCACAAACGTTTACACACACAAACCATCATATAGAAGAGAGATTTCTGAATAGGGATTTTGTTTCTGTTTTTTGTTAAAGAGACATGAAAGACCTCAACTTAAGGTTAAGTGTGTAAACTTGAACTTAAAACATATTTATGATGCAACCGAAAGAATCATGAATCTTAAAAGCTACATGATTTTTCTGGATTTTATTTTTGGCGACTTATGAAGTTATATATATTGTTTTGTATATTTTTGAAATTTCTTAAGGAGAAGATTGCTGATTGGCTGATTGGTCCTAACCAATTACTGTATAAAAGATGAACGACGCGACAGCACTTCCTCCCATTGTGCAAAAATGAAGCCAAAATATCCCGCTTGTGGGAGCTGCCATGTTCCACTTTTGGAGCCAGAGTCTGCTCAGTAGTAACTCGTGGTGGAGCGTCTCTGCCCACACACCCACTGGACGTGACCGTGAACACGCCCCCTTACACTTTTTACATAGCCCGGCTGCTCTGTCTCTCATTCTGCAGGGTATGATGACTGTTATTTAAAGCTACTAGTTAAATGTTTATTTAGATTAAAATTTATCATACAAAACATGCACTCAAAAAAGTTGCATCTAAACAAATCTGTTTGAATCAACAGGCCTCTGGACCCTGTGTTGCAAACAGTTACAACTTATCTTGCTGGAGAGCACATAGTACACACGACAGATTACACATCCAAGATTTAATCATTAGAGGAAGGCATGTTGTCCAACATCGGTCTAAAGTATTTTTGGTTGTCACTATGCACTTTTATAATTCTTACGCAAACTAATAAGAACATATCTGATAAAAAATATGATACTGTAAATAATCTTTAGCTTTTAATTTTTGTTATAGGAGGGAACATGTGTGGTATTTTAGCATCAGACACTTAGTTTTCTGTTTTCTGATGAAGATTTTCTGCATTCATTTATGTAGATGATGTCTTTTACACAAATCAGACACCAGCTCACAACCTTAAATGTGATTATTGTGCTACCAATTGGGTGTGGTCCAGTGATGGATTTATGATTAGCTGATAATGAGGATGGCAGGGATTTTTTTCTTTTACTTTAGCAAAGCAATAAAACAATGAAAAGACCTCAGGAGACAAAACTGTTTTACTGACAAAATATCAAAAGTAAAACCAATAATTTTGCTAATTTTTTTCTATCTGTGCAATATGGATTAACGTTACTGCTGATGATGTGAGGACATCTGATCTCTGAAAAAAACAACTGTTAATGAAGCTGGAAAAACACACCCACGTCTTGGTCCTTAAAAAAGCATATTAATATATAGTAAAAGTACACTGTAAAATCTAATTAGTTTCCAAAACTCAAAAAAATTGAGGAAACTCGTTGCCTCAAAAAAACTAAGTAAAGCTTACTTAAGATGACTGTTAGGACACTCTACAGTCTACAGCAGCGGTCCCCAACGTTTTTTGCGCCACGGACCGGTTTATGCCCGACAATATTTTCCACGGACCGGCCTTTAGGGTGTCGCGGATAAATACAACAAAATAAAACTAGTAC